TTAAGTTTAGTATTTTTTTAGAAAAATAAGACTTGTGAGATCAAGCTAAATGGAGAAAAGGAAGAGAGGACCTCTAGAAGGAAATGAGAGGTATAATTCTAACAACTAAAATAAAATATAAAATATGGCATATTTCTCGAACTAAATTTCCGCTAAGCCAGTCATGGCAAGTCTGTAGTCCAATTCTCCTGGAGAGTACCAATTGAGAAAACTGTTCCCTTGTTTCCAAGGGTAAACACAAGGCAACCCAAAATCAAAGAGCACTTTCCAGGCTCAAACACTAAGCCTTAGTGATTAAGGTATAAAATGATTAACGATGCAGGTGTCGCAAGAATCCCCTACGGTTTGGTAAATTAACGTAACAACTCTTTCAGAAAGAAAGGAACACTCTACGGTTATCTTAATTTCCAAATGCTAAGAACCATCCCTTCTTGAACTATACGGAGTCAGTTCTCCTTCCTTCCCTTCTTCTCATCTCTATCTGTCGCCAGATCAACGCCTTTCTCCTCAGCTTCTTTCGCCGCTCACAATTCAATTACGACGCCCCGAGCCCTGCCGTAAACGGTTTCCTTCGCCTCGAGCTCGCCTCCTGACGTCATCTAAAGCTGCCACCCAATGAGAGGTAAGGCTTAAGTATAGAACCAGTCCTCGTGAACGCTATTTGAAGACATTGAGGCACGAAAAAAAAAAGGTCGAGGCGGGAAGAAATAGAGGTGGGGATGGGGCGGGACAACAATAAGAGAGACGGTCCTCCTGCTCCAATAAAAAAGCGGCTACTTTTCCTTCTCTCTTGCACTTTAGTATGTTCACTCTTCTCCGCTCCTGTACTGTGGAAAGAGTAAGAACGAGGAAAAAAAGAGCTAGGCTTCCCCCACAAGAGCTTCGCGTGTTCGAAAGGGGTAGTATAAGCAAGATGGATGTCCTGGTTAACCAATGAAACGCAGAGATCTATTATTTGCCTATAACCCCGTTAGATGGTGTACTGTATGTGTATATACGGATCCCCTTCTACTTTGAAGCTCCCTCCTCCTCTTCTTTCCGTCATTTCTTGGAGCCAATAGGAGGACAGGGCAGCTTGGGGTGGAGGCTTTCCCCCTCCCCTCCCGCACGATCGGAGGCGCCATGGGCTGAAAACTAAACCGAGATGGAATCTCCCAGTCTGAACCGGTTTGAGCCGGTTCCGAGTCTGTGGCACTAGAGGAGGAGGAGCGGGAAGAGCGGAAGGAGAAGCAGCAGCAACGAAGGAAAGCGAGAGCCGGGGGGGAAACGAAAGAGCGAGTGAGAGCGAGGGGGGAATTGTGTCCGAGAGAAAGAAAAGCAGTCGCCCCACGCACTCGGTTGCTTTGCCGCCTTTACCGTGTGGGGAGGGGCGGGCGAGCGAGAGAGGAGGAACTGCTGGAGGGCGCGCGTGTGCGAGGAAGCAGAGCGGGGTTCATTAAGCGCAGGAGTGGATTAGCAGGAGGAGAAGCAGGGGTTTAAAATAGAAGGGACGGGGCTAGGTATGGAAGTGAACTGAGGGGAAAGCAACCCGTGCAGTGTGGGAGCGTGAGGAAAGAAAGGGAGAGGCAGCCCAGCCAAAGACTGGCCTTCTGACTGACTCCCGAGAGTTGGGTGGTAAAAAGTGCTTCTGAGTTTTTAAAAATTTAAGGACTCCCAAACAGGCCTGGGGGGGGTCTGCCCCAGTGAGCATTTTCTAGCTTTCCCATCTATTTAATTTTGGAGTGGGAAGGAGCGTGGTGTGGGAGTGTTGTAGGCCCCTAAATCCCCCCCCCCAATTGGCAGATCTCCTTCAACTTCAGTGTTTAGCCTTGACTGCATACCTGTATAAGGCAGTGAGGGAGTCTCCTTAAAATCGCTGTGTTTTAATATATAAAAAGTATTGTTTATGTGAGGGGGGTGTAGAAACGCCCCCTACAACTTAAGGTTTTAAGGAAAGGGCGGGAGAGAGAAACCGGTAGAGAGAGTGCTTTCTTGCCTGGAAGACTTGTCTCGAATCAAGTCGCACCCCCCCCCCTTGTGTGTTTTTTCGGGGTGGTTGAAAAAGGGGGTGAATCTTGGGTACACATTTGAATGGACGGCCAAGCCCTGGTTTTTTCTATGGGCGAATTTGTAACTTTGAGTTTAAGAAACAGAAAGTGATTTGTGTGTTGCCCTCGGCCCTTTTTTTTTTGTAATCACCTTTCTTTCCATCCCCATTTGTTAGTAAGTTGGAGAGTTGGGGGGAGGGTGGGTGGGCTTTGAATGACTTTTGGACTGCTTATGAAAAGAGAAAGATACCTTTCTTTTGTATCTGTTGTGGGGAGTTGAGAAGGAAGGAAGGCTGGACAGATCTCTTCACTCCTCCTCCTCGTGCTTTTTAGCTTTGCTTGGATTTCCTTTTTTTTTTTTTTAACTGCTCCTCTCCACTACTTGCCTCTCTAGAAGAAATAGTTGTGATACTCAATTAGGTAAGTGAGAGCTTTCAATTAATGAAAACACGTGTATGGGACATTAAATTGGAAAGGGAGGGAAGAGGGCTTGCTGAAGTAAGTTGGGATATAGAGGAAAGCAATCCCCGGAGAAATCAACTGGAACTCTTGTGGAAGGGGCTAGATATGAAAAGATATACTAGAAAGACTGCTTTATGCTTAGCAATTCTCAAATGCATAATTTTCATTTGAAATAATGGTTGTCATCCCCTAGGCCTAAACTGTGTAAACGGTGTGTAATCTTGTTTCCAACGAAAACAAAAATAGGAGTGCGAAGTACGAAGCTTTTTTGTAATATAGAGATATGAGCGGGTCGTTCTTGAAGACTTGTACTTGCAGCCACATGGAAAGCAGAAAGAGAAAGGGGCGTGTATCTCAAAGAGACATAGGGCTTCAGTAGATGCCAGCTTTGGAGCAAAACGAAGTTCGAATAAGAGAGATGATGCTTGGGAAATCGGAAATAAAAGTAATCAGACAGGGAAGGGAAATGTAGCAGGTTGAACCAACCTAGGCCATCCTTGGAGCATGGCGGTGGGACTGGAGCAAAGCAGCAAGTGTGGGTTAGAAAACGAGTTGGATCCTAAAACGTAAGCGGGAAAGAGAAGGGCCTGGCGGGAGATGAAAGGAGGGCCCTTTCTTATAGGTAGATGAAGATCCAGGCGGGAGACTGGGATCGGATAGAGAAAAGAACGAGCGTTATCTGTGAATTATTAGTAGTGGAAGTTTCCAGAAATATTTTTTGTGTGTCTCCGTGCAGCAGTATTGAAACGTCCGCCTGGATCACGTGGGGGCCCTGTATAGAAAGCAGGGAAAGGAGGGAGGGGCTGCAGCGGCCCTGCTGCTCTTTACTGGTCTTAGGGCGGAAAAGAAATCTATTTGTGCGTCGTCCGCTTTGTGCTGAAAAATGAAATCTCTCTGAGAAAATTCAGAAAAAGTCACAATTTATAGCTTAGTTGTATGTCAGTAGCGTGGATGTCGCATGTTCTGCAGCATGTCTGGTATTGGGGAAGGGCGGCAGCCAAGGCCTAACCAATGGGTGTGTGTAAGTGTGAATGTAGCGGTCTCCCTTGGATGTATCCCATGTGCGTATGGTTTCTATTTCTGTTTAAGATTTAAGTTTTTAATTCGCTAATTTTTCTGTTAATGTTAAGTTAATTTCTTGTTCCGAATAAACATTACCGAAGATATGGGGAGGGGCAGACTGCAGTCATTAAATACTACATTTTAGAGTCAGTTAAAGGTTTTTCATCTTACACAGCTTCTCTGACGAGATTTTATACGAAGTACCTAATTTTGAACATAAAGAAAACTTCAGGAGGCCTATATTTAGTAGCAGCACATGGATAACTAAAGATGAATTGGTTGTGCTGAAGTTAATGGAATTAAGTGCAGAGATGGTGTTAAGTTGTAAGTTTGTTAACCCTGATCATTGAAGGATGGTTGTCCAAATTTATTTCAAATGTCATTGTATTCCCTTTTCAAATTATTTGATGTATACATGATACAGATTAACTAGATATACTGATTAAAATAATTAGCTTAATATCTAATTTTTAAGCTTGCAATTTAAAGAGTTTTTCCACTTTACCTTTTGCAATTAGTAAATATATACAGCATTAATGTTAAAGTATCTAGATCTTACAGAGATGTAGTTACCCTTGCCCTTTTGTACTGTCCATTAGAAGCAGCTGTGTCATTTTAATGAGATCCATGTGGTAAGAATGTTTATATTCCATTGATTAAGTTTATAATATGCAATCATACCATATGACTGGTTCTTACAAGCCATCATTTCTTGTGATAGTGAAGTTTTTTCTTCAGTCATACCAATTCCCAGAGACTGCCTGGGTAGCCCTGCTGTTTCCTTAGCAAGGTTTTCAGAAGTGATTTGCCTTTGCCTCCTACCTAGGGTTGAGAGAAGGTGACTGGCCCAAGACTATCCAGCTGACTTTGTGCCTAAGGTGGGACTAGAACTCATGGTCTGTCAGTTTCTAGCCTGACCACTACACCAAACTTAGTTAAGAAAATAGATTTTTCTTAAAGGAAAAGTAAATATCTGTGGAAATTGCATGTAGGTGCCACTACAAAGTTTCTATGTGCATATAAACTGTAAGGAAATGTATAATCAGGAATAGAAATAGTGCTAATTGAGACTTAGAACAACAGAATTAAATACCTGATAAAAATGTGCAACTAGATATTGAAAAATATGTATAATTTTGTCTTGTTTTAAACAGTGATATGAGGAAAATGCTTCTCTGTCATACTAAAGATGTCGTTTCCAATAGCATAGAAAGATTGAACTATATCTGATATACATAAACATCACATTTGGAGGCATGTACTTGGTTAAATTTTGTTCTCAATAGCAGAAGATATATACAATTTACCATATGAGAACTCTATGGATATTTATAGTTCAATCCTAAGGGAGTTTAGACCTGCTGAATTCAATAGAAGGGTTTGTAGAGTGAATGAATGAGATTGCAGCCATAAATTAACTTCAGATAATCACTGATAGTTATTATTTCTTTACATTTGTATTATGTATTCTAGTAGAAAATATTAATGGAATCATTTCCAAAACAATATGAACCACTGGAACATAGGTAGGGCTTAGTTATAAACATCACTCTTCCAATCTAGTATCCCAAGATCTGAGCTACAATTCCATCATCAATCAGTATAATCCATGACAATATTTAGTAGCCATTGTAACCCATATTTCTGGTGGGCATCAGAAAAGCTATTACACATATCTGGGAAGATATCCTATTTAACTTAAGTAGAATTTTTGCATAGGGTAGGGCTAGCATAGATATATTTGTAGAATTCTTTAAAAGTTGGGAATGGGAATCATGGGTTTCTTAAAGGTAATATGTTAAACAGGCAACAGGCTTTCAACTGGTGATCCTTGTAGTATGCTTGCAGAGAAGGCAAATAATTTCCTCTATAATTTTCAGAAGTTGTGCTTTATTTCCATTTAAAATGAATTACATTCTTTATCAATACAAATATTTATGATAGGGATAGATTACTAGCATTCAAATTTAATTTTGTGTGTAATGTTGATTGTTTTATTTTGTAAGAATAAAATATTTTTACTTAAATATAACATTGAAGAGTCTTCATTTTCCCACATTAGTAACTGAGTTACCAGTGTATTCATACAGCATACAATGTTCAAACCATCTGTGTTATGGTTTAATCTAATGGCCTGGTTCAACAATGCCTTGAAACAAAATCTGTCCATCAGCCATTCTAGTGTTCGTGCCATCCTTGCTGCTGAGAAGAAATCCCTCTGTTAAAAATTAAAAATTATAATTTGGAATGTAAGTTCGGTTCTTTCGGATATTTCATAGTCAATTCTTTAAAATGTAATATTTGTAAAATATCTTACTGAATATTTGAAATTTTAAAATTATTTTTCAGTTGACTTATTTCTTTACAATTTCAGTAATCTATGCCAGCAATTATGACAATGTTAGCAGACCATGCAGCACGGCAGCTGCTGGATTTCAACCAGAAGTTGGATATAAATCTGTTGGATAATGTGGTGAACTGCCTGTATCATGGAGAAGGAGCTCAGGTAGAGTACATGATTGGAAATTAGATATCCATTAAGGGATTTAAGTATACTCTAATCTGCAAAGGAAGAAACAAGTTGTTCTCTTTAAGAATGACCTTATAACTTGACTTGTAATAAAGAGTCCTGAGGAAGCAGAAATATTTCATTAATAATATACAGGTAATCCTCAACTTACAACAGTTCATTTTTGACTGTTCAAAGTTACAACGGCACTGAAAAATGTGACTGAGTGTTTTTCACAGTTATGACCTTGGTAGGATCCCCATGATCATGTGATCAGAATTCAGAAGCTTTGGCAATTGGGTCATATTTATAACTGTTGCTGTGTCCCAAGGTCATGTGATCAATTTTTGTGACCTCATAAGCAAAGTCAATGGGGAAGCCAGATTCATTTAACAATGGGCTACTAACTTATCAACTGCAGTGATTCACTTAACAACTGTGGCAAGAAAGGTCGTAAAATGGGGCAAAACTCACTTAACAAATGTCTCACTTAACAGAAATTTTGGGCTCAATTGTGGGCCTAAGTCGAGGGCTACCTGTACTATAATAATAGAATGATAGAACACTTTAGAAAGAGTATTTATTAATATAATCTGCTGATGCCCAAGTTCAGTACAGATTGCATCACAGTACTTGAACTGGAAGACCAATAGCTTAAACTTTTGGTGATCGTTCTTTTTAGTTTTATTGTCTGTGTGATCCAGTAGTGAATAAGGCATGTTCCTAGGCAAGTTACCTAGGAAGAATTTGATTCTGTAACTCTTAAGGAAACAGACATGAATTTTGAGTTAGTTAACCTGGCCACCTGTTAGATTTCTGACCCTCTTGGTTAATGAAGGCCTCTTGGGAAGAGATGGTTGGGTCTCTGGTGGTGACGTCCTCTCTGAGGGAAGGCTTGGAGGAGGCAATGATCCCTCTAATGAAATCATCACTGGACCCAATAGTCCTGAACGTTTGCCCAATTTCCAACCTTCCCATTTGGGTGAAAGTTATTGAGAAGATGCCTAGCTGTAGTCCTGGAGGAAATGAATTATCTGGCCTTTCTACAGTTAAGTTTCATGTCAATATATAAAATTGAGGTGGCATAGATTACTGGCATAGATGATCTCTGGCATAGCCTGAAAAAGAATGGTACAACCATCTTAGCTGTCTTAGATCTCTCAACAGTCTTAGATACAATTGATTTTGAAACCAACTATTAAGATTAAATGTTGGAGGTACTGTATTTGGGGGGGGGGGTCTCTTTTCTGTTTGGCTTGACAGGTGGGAAGAAATGAACTCCAAAGATCTGGGTGCCCTGGATTCTATATAAAGCCACTAGGTGAGGGCATCAGTTATCACAGTGCCTGGCATCATCAGTATTGATGATGCTCAGTTGTATATGTTGATCCCTGGTGACTGCATGAGGCTGTCAAAGATTTTGTCAGTTCCTAGAAGCAGTGCAGATCCAGATGGAGAGGAACAGACTTGAAATCAATCCTAGCAAGACCAAAGTGTTATAGATACCTGACCCTCAAAAATCCAGAGATCTTCCATTTCTTTTTCTGAATGGGATTGCAGTTCCCCCAGATGGAACAGGTGTGCAGTTCAGGAAGCTGGATTCTCGGCTTCTGCTTGAAATGCAGGGGGGCAGCTGTTAATAGGAAAGCCTTTGCACAAATCTATCTTTCTGTGTCAATTATATCTTTTCCTTCTTATAGTCACTTAGGTTTTGGTTATTCCACGCGTGCACATTGCTATGCACTTTGAGACCGCTCTTGGAAATTAGTTCCAGAATGGTGATATAAGCAGATATGGCAATGACACAGTATACCCATGTTACACCTCTGCTTTGTAAGTTTTTCAGATGCAATTCAAAATGCTGGTTTTGAAGGCCCTTTATGTATAAGGCATAGATATTTGAAAAATCATCTCTCCCATGGTATAAGCTCAGGTAGTCACATGCTTAGGGTACCATTCATTAAGTATTTGATGTACCCAGACAGCATTTCTTCTCTGTTGCACTTTGTGCCCTCTGGAACAGTATCCACCTGGAAAATTGAATGTCCCCAATTCTGCTTTAAATAGGCCTTGAAGATCTGGCTTTTTACTCAATCTTGGGCTAGGATGGGCAGTGGGCTACTTTTGTGAGGATTCTTATGTCTGTTCCACCAGGATGACCATTCTCTTCTGTTTTTCTTTAGTTTCTAATTTGCATGCTGCCCAGAGCCAAGCAAAACATACATATTTACAATTGCTAATTGATTATTTGGCGCCATTGTTCATGTTCAGGACTAATGAAGATTTATCCTCAATGTTCTTTCTTTCTTTGATATTTATGATAGTGAAGAGGTATGGAGGAATTAATATTTAAAAATACATTTTGCATTGTTCAGTCATATCATAGAACAATATCCAGTATAGCTCCAAGACACAATCCATGCTTTTATATTTTGTATTTAGGACCTCTGACTATAGATGTTAGGCTCTAAAGTTGGATGCTGCAAAACTTTACTTTGCTACTTACCTGTATTCACATTGTAGGTTCATAGCTTGAGTCTTTCTTGAGAGCACTTGTTACATATCTATCTCACATGTGTTGTGAATAGATATTCACAGTTTTGCTTTTCAAGTTACAATCAGAACTATAGAGATTTTCCAACTATATGTTTCTTTGTCAGGAAGGGTGTTTTAAGAGGATTATTTTTTTCAGAACTTTAATAAAGCTATGTATGTGATCAAATATTAGTTTTCCTATTTATAAGAAAATACTAGTCTCCTAATGCAACTTTATTTGCTAACTAGAATATTGAAGAATGCATAAACCTCTATCTTAAAATCTGTGATTTTTGGAACTGGGCTATTCCATGTGTCTCAGCTATTTGAAATCTAGGTAACACTATTCCAAAATTACTTGTGGAAGCTACTTTGGTATTAATTATTTGTATCTAACATTTTAGCAAAGGATGGCACAGGAGGTCTTGACTCACTTAAAGGAACACCCTGATGCATGGACAAGAGTTGATACTATTTTGGAATTCTCTCAGAATATGAACACCAAAGTAAGTACATGATTTTTAATTGAGTTCTTTCTTTCTTCCATTCAGACTTTGAGGAAGGTATCTCAATTTTTAGATTTAGTGTTTGTTTAATTTTTTTTGCTTGTTCCTGCAAATCTCTTTAACTTAACCCTATACTATCACATGGTATTTCCATGAGGTTATTGGTTACTTTTTCTTGTAAAAGGCTTGAGAATTTGAGTCACATGGGATTGGTGTTAAAAATTATGGTTTGAATATGAACAGATTTGAGTAATAACATTTTATAGCTGTATCATGTTAAGATTGTGATTGGCTTTCATTTATATTAATGAAAGCCATATGCACATAACTGAGGGCAAGTATGTTCCTCAATTTTTTTTTTACATTGGTATTACTCCATATAGTTTAAAACAGGCTAGGCACCCCAGATACTTTCTTCTGTTGGATACAATTTATACTTACTTATAATACAGTTAAGCCGTATCATCAGGATAATGGCTGGCTGTAATGGACATTTCTCAGCCTTCTGCAGTTGTTTTTGATCTAGAAAATTTAGAGGTTTAAATATAAATTGTCAAACATATTAAAGTGGTTGTCATATAGCTGAAGAAACATGTGCATGGCCATGTTCTTTGCGTGCACACACATATACTTTGCTATACCTTGTTCTAAATAATGTACAGCCATGCTCCAAATAGTTCCTACAGAATTTGGATGATATTTATCAAAGTCTTATTTTTTAAAAAAGGCTTCGTAAATTTTAGGACAAGGTTAAGAACTTCCTCAAAGTACTAAATTTAAGTAACCATGTTTGCCTGTTTGCTTGCCTGGTAAACTTTGCTTTTTATACTCACAGACATTACTAATGTTTAAGTTGATTTATCAACAGTATTTTTTAAAACACAAATTTGTCTTGTGAAAAATGAGATGATTAGAGGAACAGAAAGAAAGCAACAGGTAAAGAATTCTTCAATTTACATAAATTGCAAATGATTTGGTGCTAAATTTATGCACTATGACATTTGGCTTTTATGCAGTCATTTTTTTTTCTTAAAGCTGTTAACACTACCTGATATTAATCATAATGTTCCATTATGTTGATTGCTTGTAATAGGAAGAAAAGGGGTGTCTTCCTGTGCAACTGACACAGCTAGGCTTTGACGGCAGGCCTCCACAAGGTCTACCCTTTTGATTCCCTTTAACTGAATTCTGTTCATCAATTGCTTTTTTTCCTTGTTTTGGTTTCTTGGGTGGTGGGAGGGAATGGGTTGGTACATTGAATAAGTGACCCATAAAAATTTCTGCCATGGAGATCATGATACATTATTTTGTCAATCTTCTATTTCTGTCCCATCCTTTGTAATTTCATTTTATCATTTATTTTGAAAATGTTTTTGAGACCTGGAGAAACATACAGTAGAGTATGTTTCACAGCTAGCAATTTTATGTGCATAAATTTTTGTAGGTAGTCCTGAGAACTTTTTTAAAGAGATTGTAGGCACTGGGAGTTTTTTTACTCAAAAAAACCCCAGTTCTGTTCATTTTTAGAACTAACTATAAATTCTTGCATAACACAAGTAAACATGCTTGCCTATTTGCTCGCCCTGCTTTGCATATATGTAACTAAACATGCATTTGTGAAAGAGACTAGTAGCATTCTCCAAGCTACATGAAAATATAGTCTTGTGGACTTTTCAGAATAATTTGAACTAAAGTTGCATTAATCATGTGAGCCAGAAAAGGGCATATAATTTTCTTGTAAATAAGTCCTTAGTGTTGGAGTGATCAGTTATATATACTTTGAGGGGATGCCTTAGCTAAGTACCCATGCTTTATATGGATAATTACTCACAATTGTTAAGCGGGTTCAGTGGAATGGAGTAGTGTGACAATAAGCTCATATCTGTGCACCCTTATTGCCCCAGACAATTAGGTAAAATTTTGGGAGACAGAAATCTATTCGTGAGATATTCTAAGCATCTTTTTGTATCAGTAAGAAGAAAGCAATGCTTCCTGCCATTTTGTGTCTCTAGGATCTTGCTGCAGGATGGCAATGAGGTGGCTATACTTTTGAGCTGTAAAAACTGTTCAGCTTTTTGTGTATCTCTGTGGTAGACAATATTTGAAAACTTGTTTCTGAAACTCCTAGATCTGTAACCAGCTACACTGATGGGTATCCTCTCCGGGGACAGAAATTAATGTTGGAAACCAGTTAGTCTTAAGAGAAGTGGAACTAATATTAAAACAAGAAAGATACTTGCACTGGTATCTACTGTACAATTTTGATTAGAGTGAATCATCGTAACAGGTGAAGTCTTGTCATGACACTCTGTTGTTCATGTCTAGTGCTTTGGCTGCTCTGGATGCTGTTATTTCATGAATGCCAGCACTGTTCAATAGAAATGTTTGTTCATTTAAGATTTAGGCTGCAGTACAAAGAAGTTGCATGCATTGTGGAATAGGAAGAAGAAATAAGAGACTTGCAAATTGCTAGAGATTTGCTTGCTGTTTCTTTGGCATCAATTCTGATTGCCAAGAAAACAACCTGCTGTTCAGTTTTAGATGTAGTTGTGTTTTTTCTTTCTTTTTTAATCTGAGAGACCTGCTGAAGAAACAGCAAGCAACACTCCACTGCTCTAGATGTGTTTTCTTAACATTCATAGATAACTAAAGTACTTTAGATTGCAGCTATAAATTTAAAATGTTTTACCACCTTCTGCACTAGAGGTGGAATAGCCTATTAGTTCTGAAAGAGGTTAAACAATAAACTTTGAGGGAAAAATGCAGGAAAAGCTAACACAAGTCTCAAAAACTTTTGCAGGAAGCACAGTGTAGTTTGGGACAGTCTACATTGTGCTATTCATTTAAAATGATCTTACATGATACCTCTGGCTGAAATTAAAATTACCCTATTCTGTATAGACACTAACAGTCTTGAAGAACTTTTATTCTTGACCAAATCTTGACCAGCCATCTTGTCACTGAAGCCTAATTTTGCCTTTCAGGTATTGCCTCCCATCTTCTCACTATCAACAACTCTTTGACCCCTTTTCCTCCTCTCCTGTGCTATTTCTTTAAATATATTTCTATTTCTATGCAAGTTATAATAGAGGTCATATTGAATATTTTTATGCTGAGATAAAAGGAATAAAATGGGTTGAAGAATTTTCATTCCCTACAAATGCATTGCTTTCAAAACATGTGTTGGCAGGCTTACCTGGAAGGTAAAACAACCTCAAGGTACATATGGAAATGGTGAACTTTTGACTGAATACAAAAGTTAATATTGAAACTATAGATATGGCTGTTATAGGGGAGAAATTATTGTACCTTGAAATAAACCTGCATTGTCTTGCTGTTCTTTAAGAAACACCAATTAATTCTTAGGAAGCACATTTTTCTGAAGTGTTACTGGATTTAATGTTAAGCCCCAGTCTTAACAATTCAAATGACAGAAAGCCCATAAACACCAAAGTGGCTAAACCTGGCTGTATATTTGGAAGCTATAAATAGTCATTTAGGCCATGATTTTTGTTGACTGCTGATTTTCTCCCCTAAAGATAATTAATTTGGCTTCCCAAACATTTTTTATTTGCTCCCCTCTGGTGTGATCATGACCAAGCAGCAGGACTTTAGACTAGCAAAGGAAAAATGAGGAAAATGCATGGGAAAAACTAGTAAATGGGTGATAGATTTGTTTTTGATCAACATAATCTTAATAAAGTATGAATGATATCAGCTCAAATGAGAATCCTGAAAGTTGTTGTTAACTCCAGTATATTCACATATTTCACTTCTCCAATTTTCAGTATTATGGCCTGCAGATCTTGGAAAATGTGATAAAAACAAGGTGGAAGATCCTTCCAAGAAACCAATGTGAAGGTAGAGACTTTTTTTGATTGATTGGTAACATAATTCTTTAAGATGTGGATCTCATGTGGCTCTTTTTCCCCCTAATAATTGTACCCTGGTCTTATATGATCTGTTGTATCTAACTAACTACTTTCAATGCATTAGGTCACGGGTGTCAAACTCGCAATATCACGTGACTTTTTTCCCATTGCCAGCAATGGGGTGGGTGCGGTATTGGTGTGACGCATCCGGCCCACGGGCCAGCAATTTGACACCCCTGCATTAGGTGGTAGACATCTATCATAATACAATGCCAGATTAATAATGTTATTTGGAATAACGCTGTTACTTATAAAGTTTAGTGTTGCTTCTGAGTTCCAATTTGTCTAAAAAACATAGAGTTCAAATGAGTATTGTTATTCAATCTAATCTAAATGTGAATATTCATACCTATTACTCCCTCATTAGCTAGTTGCTATTTGTATTTGTGATAAGCAAGCTCCAGGTCTACTTGTAAAGCATGTGTATAATAAATGGTAATAATTGATTTCATTCTTCTTTTCTCCATGTCCTCAGTGGAACACTTGTTTATACCATATCATCCTATGTTAAGATAGCTGTTTTAACACTGACAAATGAATTTGTAATAGAAATGTCAAGAATAGTTGCTTTAGAAATCACTGGTATGTAAAAAAAATCTTGATTAAAATCGAGCCACATATTTTTCCAGTGCTTTGAAGACACAAGCCAGCAATTGCTCCAAAACATCCTAAGCCACCATATCCCAGTGTTACCCTTTAAGTTATGGGAAAGGTAGAGTTGATATTTGCAGAATGTTCGTTGAGGGGTTCCTTGTTAAGCAGAAGGCACCCATATTGGCTGATTATATTAAATGAGCTGACTTCAGTGCCATCCAAAATACTGTTTGCTATCTTGCATATAATATTTTTAGCGTTTAGTTGGCTTCTTGATTAATTGAGGCTAGAGCAGAAGGACTGGGGCTAATATAAATATCTACATCACAGTGTTATACTAGCTCCAGCAAGCTAGTGGAAACGATATCAGAATGAGACTGATTAGCTAATATCCTTACATAAAAACTTGGAATTCAATTAATATATTAAATAGAAATTTGAGTTTATAGTATAGAATAAAACATAAGGCATGTGCTGTAACCCGGAAGTGGACTTTCTGAAAGTATTTATATGTTTTGTTTATTTACTCATGTAAATCCTGAATTTATTTATTACTGAAGTGATAAATAGAAGATAGAGGGCCAATTTGGTCTGGTGGTTAAGGCTAGAAACTAAAAGTTCTGGGTCCATCTTAGGCTTGAAAGATAGCTGAATAACTTTGGAGGAAGGAATACTAGATATGTTCACTGCCTTGAGTTATTTATAAAAAAATAGCAGGCAGGTTGAAAACATTTTATATTTAGAAGAAATAATGTATATAATAAAGATTATACAGAGTTTTTAAGGCAGAGAATTTTCAGCAGTTGAAAGTTTGTTGTTCTGTTTAGGGACAATAAAGATACCTATAATATATATGTTCCTAGGGTATCCAATACTAACATCATCTTTATTTAATTTAGAACTTTTAGATACATTTAAATGTTTTCAAATTATATCTACGTAGCACTTGGGACGAACTTAAACAAATGCTAAAATCTTGTCAGAAAGATATAGGAATGTCCTTTGTTCAGAGCGAAGTCTGCTGGTCAGATACTCAGTTTCTATATACTTGCAAATAATGTGGCTAAGGTTTGGTCAACTAAAACTACTCATCTAAAGTCCTTGTATTTTACAGAAAGAATAATAAGCGAGTGATGCACAGTCTTTATATGTAAGAAGTGTGGTTTGGGAAATTTCCTGCCTGAAACCAGGAGAAGTTGCAATTGATAGAGATTATATTGAAGTAGAACCAGTTGACTAAATATATCAAACCACTAGATTCCAGTGCATAACTTTAGAATATATTGCTGAAATTTGAAGTGAGGGCTAAATCACTAGAGGTATTAGGATTGCATTTAGTGCATTTTCTGTTATGGTTGCATTTTATTTAACAGATTGCCCAAAGATTGCTTTTAAATATTTGGTGGTAGTCCAAGGGAAATGACAGATATAAGGCATTAATTTTAAATTGATTGTGGACCACATGTCTCCCAACCCATGTTTGTAAGAGGAAGAGATGGGCATTGACTATATGATCACCATGTGACTTGTAATTATGAGAGACCTCTGCAGTCTAAGCAGCAAAAGGTGCTAGGTAGGAAGGAGAGATCTTGAGCTTTATGGGTGAGTTGGAAATATTTCAGGTGAATTAGAGATATCAAAAGGAGATATGAGCTATAGAAACCACTATCTATGTCATGTTTGTCTGTGTGTTGCAGGGTTTTATTATGACCTCTATATAATAGAGTCGCCTCTAGGGGAGATGGACGATACACAAATCTAATAAATAAAAAATAAATATAATAGCAAAGAGTTACATTTTCAGTATTTCTTTGCTGGGTCATAATAGTGATTGCACAGCATTTTTCAGATTAAGAGGTTTGTTCCTTTGCTAGTTTCTATGGCCAAAATACTTGAATCTGTGTTGAGTTCTGTTTCAGTGAAATGCAAGCTATCCAGAATAGTTTCAGTTTTGCTTTGTGGCAAATGCCAGCTGGTTTAATAGAACTTTCAGGGTATAGCTGCAAATATTGATTATTTTTTATTTATACAAACTGCTGGTTGAGACTACACTGTTATATCTACCACTAACATGTCTCATCCAAATAGTCCTTAGCATTAAAAATATAATAATGTATTACACTTGTATGCTGCCCAACTCCCAATGACTCGAGGTGGCTCACAGCAGCCAAGAAATTACAATAAAATTAATAAAAGATGGCAGGAGTGATGGACCCAATGGAATAAAGTAAGGAGACTCACTCTCTTCTCCAAAGGCCTAGGTGGTGAAGAGCTAGGGTGTCACTGCTCTTTTGAGTAACTGTGAGGGCAGTTCTGGTTTGTGGAAACCTCATTCCAGAGGGTAGGCACTGCTACAGAGATTTGTTTCCAAGCTCCTTTGACTTTCTTCAGAGTATTCCATGCCAACTCTGCATAGTGAAGTGGTTGGGTGGATATTATGATTATATGATTCTTTTATGTTTGTTATACAACATTATAGTCCATTGCCTGACAATTTTCATTTGGTAAAAATTTACCATGCTTCCCTGGTTTTTGTGTATTAACAGTCTAAAACAGCGGTTCTCAACCTATGGGTCGCGACCCCATTTGGGGTCGATTGACCATTTCACAGGGGTCGCCAAGCAAGGCTGTCCGCCATTTTTTCCCCCTTTTCCGGTGGGTGCCTTACCTCCCTTGGGCTGGGCCAGCTGGTGGTTGGCCTGCTCCGTCTCTGCCACTTGCCAGCTACGCCTCGGCCGGCGCAGGGGGCGGAACCACGCATGTGTGGCGCTCCCGGGCAGGGAAAGTCCTCAACTTACGACCGGTTTAGTCCTCGACTTATGACCGGTTGGGGGTCGCGGCATTAAAAAGGTTGAGAACCAGTGGTCTAAAACTAGGGCTATGTAGATTCAAAGGTAAAAAAAAACATCTGTCTGCAGCTCCTTAAATCAAATGCATTTTACACTAGTGATACAATCCCAAGAAACATGCTTCAGTTAAGGAGTGATAGACAAGTATTGTATACGCAGATGATCTTAAATATCTTTTTGCCTGAATTCAGAAGCTTGTAGGATTGTAGAATTTTGTGGACAAAATTAGATGAGAAATATCCTTTAATATAATGATATATAATGATGATTAAATAAAAGATAGGGATTACTAGTCTTGGCAAAACAATTAACTCTACAAGGCAGGTAAGTGTACATAATTGTACACTCTTCTAGGAGGTTGATACCTATTTTTATTAGTTATCCACAAAGCAAAGTTAGAAGTTTCCAATTTTGATATTAAGCTTTAAAATTCCAGTTTCAGAAATTCATATGAAATTAAGATACCTGCAGTAACTGCAATAAACATCAATACTTGTTCTCCCCGCCAAATTTTTTGTATTGCTTTAGAATATTGTGTTCTGTTTATAACATTTGAGAATGTCATCATTTAACTTCTAAAGCAGGGCTTGTCAACCGGTGGTACGCGACCACCTGGCTGGTGGTACGCGGCGTTGCCTCCCCCCCGCTCCGCTCCTTCCCACCTCACTTGTTTGTGGAAAATATGCTGCTTGGCGGCAGCCTGCACGAACTTTACCGAATGTGCCCTGCAGGAGGCTCTTGAAGAGCACAGGCGCAGAGCAAGCCCCCCCCCCGCATGGACTCATTGTGCAGCAACTGGTTTGACTTCTCTGCACTCAGATCAGTGAAGGGGAGGCCACTGCAGTGCCAAACTCCTGCGCCCGTCAGCTGGCAACCCCCAAACTTGCACTTGTCAGCTGGGAGGTCCGGCGCCGGCAGCCAGTCTCCTTTGCCACCTCGTCCTCGACCCCTCCCCCAGCCCGTTCATGTTTTTCTCGCGCAGAAGAGAGAGGAAAAACAATTGCGGAACACTCGGCAATCCCTTGCAAGGCACCATGTATCTTGGTGCTTATTTCCTAATGCCTTCCCCCCGTGTTTTCTGCTTCACCCCAAATTCGCATCCCACTCTCTTTACTCAGCCATTGGTCTTAATACAGCCCTGTCTGTCTCGCTTTCAACACCCCCTAAAGTTCTTCATTCAGGCAGGCTTCCAGAGTTCGGCTGGCAGGATGCAGGTAACCCCTCCCCCCTGTCCTGCCGCCTCTCACGGCACTGCGCCGCTCCGTGGCACAGAACTGCTGGCGTTATGCTTGGGCGGAAGACTTTTTCTTTTACAGATGGGGCGGGTGGGCTCGACATTCACGGGCAGGCAGGACCCCGCTCTCCAAGCCACCACTTCCCCATCGCCCTCCACGCCAGCCAGCTCCGTCTCCAGACCTCCCAGCTGACGGGCGCAGGTCCGGGGGTCGCCAGCTGACGGGCGCAGGAGGTAGGCGCCGCCGCGGCC